AGCCCTAGAACTAGATCATAAGTATTTAAATGACAAATATTGAAATCATAAATGACAAATATTGAAATTACATAAATGAAAAAATCACAATGGTGCAAATCATTCAACCTAATCATTTATTGTCTACATAAATGAAAAACATTAAATACAATAGTAAGTACACAAGATCATAAGTACTTAAACATTAAACGACAAATATCGAAATTAATTAAACCAGGATAAGGTACATCAATTATCCCAATATCAAAAAGCTTAACTCACTGTATAAAAGTGGTACAAAATGGAAAATTTAGTGAAATAAATTACGAAGTTGAGAAAATAAAGGATGAAATACAAGACAATAGGTAGAATCCGTCCCTTGGTTGGATTCTTGAAGATTGCAATGATTTGGTCTTGATTTTTCTCGAAATATTCTCACTTTTGCTTGGTTTTCCTATTCTTGCCTATTTTCCCTCTTGAATGCACTCTCTTTTGTGTGTAATGAATAATCGATAAATTGACTGAATTTAGGTCTTTAGATTGCACCTAGGTAAGTCCCCAAAGTACCCCTCCACCTTCCACCATACCCAATCCCACACCCACTACCAACGTAGATACTACCATTCCAAATCCCGCATTCCTCCTATGGACTCAATAGGACCAGATTATTCTCAGTACCCTCATCTCTTCCCTATCCGAAAACATCCTATCTCATGTCATGAACTGCACCTCTTCTCGTGATCTTTGGCTCTCCCTTGAATGAATGTTTGTTTCTCAATATCACTCGCACTCACTATCAACTTGCCACCATGAAGAAAGGGTCCTCTACCATATCTGAGTATTTTCAAAAAATGAAAGCTCTCAGTGACACCCTTGCAGCTGCCGGACAACCTTTAAACCCTTATGAAATAGTATCCTATCTGTTTGCAGGTTTAGGGATCGAATATGATCCCTTTGTCACATCCGTCACAACTCGTGTAGATCCTTTGCCTCTTGATGAACTATATGGACATCTTCTTGCGCATGAGCAGCGCCTCGAGCAACATCACACTCCCACTGATCTGTCCATGTCCACCGCCAATATGGCCTCTCATAATCATCCCAATCCAGGCAGATATCAACGGTCCTCTTATAATACCTCTAGTCGCTGTTATTACTCTGGTGGCCTTGGCCACCGTGGTCGCGGTAGGGGTCTACATTTCGAATCAACCAGTACCTTCTCCACTGGCTCTCGCACTACCTGTCGGTCTGTAACAAGTTGGGTCATATTGCCATTAACTGTCCCTCCAGATTTGATCATTCTGTTCAACAAGCTCCTTCTCAACCTCCTCAAGCATATTACACTTCTCAACACCTTGTACCTGATGAAAATTGGTACCCTGACACCGGTGCAACCCATCACCTGACCAATGCTCTCTCCAATCTTAATCTGTCTGTAGAACCTTACAATGGCTCTGACCAAATACATATTGGTGATGGCTCAGGTTTGTCCATTAATCACATTGGCTCCTCTCTTCTCACTACCTCTGCTCGATCTTTTGTTTTAAAGCATCTTTTTCACGTCCCTCATATTTCAAAAAATTTTCTTTCAGTCAGTAAGTTTGCTCTTGACAATTCAGTATTTTTTGAGTTTCATGCTTCTCATTTTGTGATTAAGGATTGCAGCACAAAGAAAGTGATCCTTCAAGGGCCACTTAAAAATGGTCTCTATCAACTTCCTTCTAGTCCAATAAAACAAGCCTTTGTCGGTGAGTGAACAACAAATGTCAACTGGCATCGTCGCTTTGGACATCCCTCCTTTCAAACTGTTCGGCATGTTATCTCCAAGTTCCAGCTTCCAGTGTCTTCCAGTAACTCTAAGGCTATATGTTCTGCCTGTTTGCAGGCTAAAAGTCATCAATTACCCTTTCCTTCTTCTACGCATGTGTTTTTATCTCCTTTAGAATTGGTCTTTAGTGATGTATGAGGTCCGTCACCGATTGTTTCACATCTTGGAAATAAATATTATGTCTCTTTTATTGATGCATTTTCTCGATTTACTTGGCTATATCCGATTCAATGCAAATCCGATGTCTATCCTACGTTTATAAAATTCCAAGCACTTGTTGAACGACAATTTGATACTAAAATTAAATGTCTACAATCCGACTGGGGTGGTGAGTATCGATCCCTCCATACTTATCTCCAAACCCATGGCATCCATCACCGTTTGTCATGCCCACATACCCACTCACAAAATGGTTGCGCCGAACGCAAACATCGCCATGTCATTGAAACATCTCTTGCTCTCCTAATCGACAGCTCCTTACCAAAGAAATTCTGGGATGAAACTTGTCAAACCGCATGTTTTCTTATCAATCGCATGCCCATCGCTGTGCTCAATAATTTGTCTCCTTATGAAAAATTATACAAATGCAGTCCAGATTATGATTTTCTCAAAATCTTTGGGTGCTCATGCTATCTACACCTTCGACCCTATAACACAAATAAATTGCAGCCTAGTTCTTCTCCTTGTGTCTTCATTGGATAAAGTATGCATCATAAAGGCTACAGGTGTCTAAATCCTACTACCAATCGAATTTACATATCTCGGGATGTCGTCTTGGATGAATCTCCTTTCCATTTGCCTCTTCCTGCAGCAGGTCTACTCCCCCATCTTCTCCACCAGCTCTTGCAACTTTGCCAGTACCGTTACTTCCTTCCCTGTCAAAACCTGGTGTCCTTGGTTCCCACCCTCCTCCCTCCCCTGCATTGGCATTGGGTCAGCCTTGTGCCCTCCTGTCACTGAGATTCCTCCAGCACCGACACCTAGCCGAACTCACTCCATGGTCACCAAGTCCCGTGCCAACGTGTTCCGACCTCGGCAACCTACAGATGGTACAATTCGGTATCCCATTCCCCGGGCTTTACTTGTTGAAACTGTTGCTATAGTTGAACCAACCTACTACATTAATGCCGTAAAATCACCAGAATGGCGGGCTGCAATGCAAGATGAATTTAATGCTCTACTTAGAAACAACACCTGGTCCCTAGTTCCAAATCATGCAGCTAAAAATATAGTCGGATGCAAATGGGTGTTCAAACTCAAAAGAAAGTCTGACGGTTCTCTTGAGCGCTATAAAGCACGACTCATGGCTAAAAGATTTCATCAGTTAGCTGGTTTGGATTATGGTGAAACATACAGTCTAGTGGTTAAACCCACTACTATGCGTACCGTGCTCTTCCTAGCTTATTCAGCAGGTTGGGCCATGCGCCAAATTGATATTCAAAATGCTTTTCTACATGGGACACTCTCTGAAGAGGTATATATGACTCAGCCGCCTGGTTTTTGACATCCCCTATATCCGTCTCATGTTTGTCGACTTCACAAAGCACTTTATGGCCTCAAACAAGCCCCGCGGGCTTGGTTTTCACGGTTGCGCTCTTCTTTACTTCAACTTGGCTTTCATGCATCCAAAGCCGACTTCTCTTTATTTATTTTTCATGCTGGATCCACGACAGTCTTCATTCTTATTTATGTTGATGATATCATCATCACCTCTTCGGTTCTGACTGCCATTGATGAGCTTCTTACCCTTTTGTGAAAAGATTTTGCTATCAAAGATCTAGGTGATCTCGATTTCTTTCTCGGTGTGGAGGTGAAACGCCTACCAGAAGGTCTTCTTTTATCTCAACAATGGTACATTCTTGATTTACTGAAAACAACAAAGATGCTTGACGCTAAGCCGATATCATCTCCTATGGCATCATCCCACACTCTCTCTGCTTATGATAGTGATCCTTTCCCTGATACTACTCTTTTTCAAAGTACTGTTGGATCAACTGCAATATCTATCACTCATTCGGCCAGACTTGGCATTTGCTGTTAACCGTGTGTGACAATTTATGCATCGCCCAACCAAACTACATTGGCAGGCAGTGAAGCGCATCCTACGGTACCTCAAGCATACATTTTCTCATGGCCTTCTCATCACTAAGTCATCGTCATAGCACCACCTTGAAGCCTTTTCCGATGCGGATTGGGCTGGTTGCCCCGACGATCGTCGTTCAACAGGTGCCCATTGTATATTTCTTGGTAAGAACTTAATTTCATGGAGTTCCCGCAAACATCCAACCGTGTCTCGATCAAGTACCGAAGCAGAATACAAAGCACTTGCTAATACAGGTGCTGAATTACAATGGATCTAATATCTTCTTCGTGACTTGCGAGTTAAACTCCCTTGTGCTCTAACACTTTGGTGTGACAATATAGGCGCTACATACTTGTCCGCCAATCCTGTCTTTCATGCCCGGACAAAGTTGCCGCCAAAGCACTGACAATTTCATTCATTTCCACCAAGGATCAGCTGGCTGATGTTCTGACAAAACCCATCGTGTCCTCGCTGTTTCAGCTACTATGTTCCAAGCTCAACGTGTGTGCCCCCCGTTGCACTTGACGGGGGGTGTTGAGGACTCTATCACAGTTGCACCTGGACAGCAGAATTCCACATCTGATCAACAACCGAACAAGTCCAAATCATGAGAATATCTTATTGTATCCTAGTTTATGTAATTCTCTTGTATTCTAGTCCATGTCAATCTCCTGTAACAAACTCATCTATATATTAACATCCACTCCTGCATATTGAAGTGTGGAGATTACAATTATTTATTCTAAGTGTTTTGTCCCGGGGGATATCGTTTTCACTTATCCTTTTTGTTTCCATTTATTAATAATTAAAAATGGAGAAAACTCGTAAAACAAAGAAAATGGAGATAACTAACTAATTAATTAGACAAGTCTTCTCAATGAAATATGTAAATTGTCTGAATTCTTCATAATCTCCAAATAACTAGTGCATATTTTAGTGTTCCATTTTTTCGACAAGTTTTCTGCGATTTTCTCATCCCAACTTTTCGCGAAGAGAAAAACTTGACAATATTCACACTCTAAAATGTTATATGGACGCAGAGATCTTCTGCTTCTTTCCTCCATTCAATACAATTTACAAGAAAACTTGATTAATAAATTAATTATCATTAAAAAAATAAAAGTAAAGGAAAATATGATCAAAGAAAGCAAGAAATGAACTCTTTCATCGTGAAGCAGAAACATTTTTCGGATTCAATCAACAGAAACAAACATTATTCTATCAGCAAAGAAATATCAAGACTATTAGAATTCTATACTATACATCTTTGATTCTATCAGCAAAAAGACATTAATGCAGAAACAAAATTGGAATTCAATCAACATCATTCTATCAGCTTGCAATTGTTCTGATTGTTGCTCCCATCGTGGCACCTGGATCTCTTGAAATGAACCGGCCTAGTGCAGTTAATTAACACCACCTCTTCCCAAGAATCTCTTAAAAAGAACGGGCCTAGTGCAGATAAACAACACT